ACCAACATCTGGTGAAAATTTCATGTCATTAGCACCTCTAGTAATATATTTACTGAGAAAATGGTGACGTGTTCAATACTTATTTTACCCGCTGTATGAAACATGAAGGACATTGGGGCACAGAGAGGTTGAAGACAAACTTTAGCTCATCACTCTAGTTAGAAATAAACTGAGGTTATTCAAAGAGCTATCTATGACAGGTAAGATGTTGACTGCTCATTACTTACAACTGCACTTCAAAAAATCTGAACTATCTCTGTGTTCAGCTCAATAAATTATCTACACAAAGTCATGACTTCCTATTACATGTAGTGCTCACATTTAAAGTCGTAGTTCATCCACCTTTAGTCCTGAAATCATCCAACGGTGCGTCTGACAACTTCCTATAAACCAGAAGAAAAAGAAATCACGTGCTCATGTATTGGAGTGTCTTCATATAGGTCATGTGAGATGATTTGCCTTCATTCACACATAAGGATGACGATAAAAAGAAATTAACGCAACGGAAATGTCACCTAATCAATAAAAAGTGGCACAAAACGTACGACAGTCTATAAAAGGTAATCACCAWTTAGAAGGCAATCCTGAGCAGGAGAGGAGCGTCTGTTCCTGATCCGACTGCAACAAGCCACGCTTCACCGTCACATATTTGGACACGTCCACAATCCAGACACAAACGTGTGAAACCTCATCACTGGACAGAGTTTACACCTGCAGAAAGATTTAACGCTGATTTTTTTTTTAAATTCAGCGATTAGCTCTTGTAAATATGATACAGGAAAACATCGCAGCAGATTTAGTTTTTCTTTTTTTTAGATCTGGATCGCACACGATCTAGCAAACACTCCACTTACTCATGAATAAAATATTCATCAGGGCAGGTACACTTTCCAGGAAAAGAAACTGCAGACGGATGTATGCAATCACTGTACGCTGCTCAGAAAGAGCAAAATCATTTAGGATGACACTTGACTGCACTTGATAGGCCACCAGTTTTCACTGATTGTCACCATCAGCGATGTTTATCTATGCTTTTAAAAAAAAGAGAGAGCCTGAAATCAACCATTTACAGACACAAGAGAGGGCAGCACTGATTTCAACACACACTTAGGGATAAATGTAGCCCACTTTGTTTTCCCAAGCTGAAGAAATGATGCAAATGTGGACTGACACGAGTCTGGATCTGCTGCAGGAGTTCAGCGTGCAGCCGCTCTTATTTAAAGAAGAAAAAAGAGGGGGGAAAAACACACACGGATGAACTGATAACAGCTTGTTCAAGGGAGGAAAGCATGAAAGTGCGTCATTCTTAATCTATTTTCAACGAGTGGCCCACAAGCAGYGATTTGGTTTTATTACCTGGCCTGCAGCCAGTCAGCTGGGTAAAAATGTAATTAATAATGAACACATTACATCATGTTTAGCATATTTTACACTATTTTTTTTTTACCACTGAACYATTATAAAACCTTATTCAGTCTGTGGGTTTTTATGCAATAGCTTTATCTGGCAACACAAACCTTACCTTGTTTTTTTTCTGCTAAAATTCTTTTAATATGTTTTGAATATATGGGCTACCAGAAAAAATAAATCAAAAAACAGTAGAAAAATAAAATGAAAGCCTTCAGCCAGTTCACAGCTGTCACTGTTGACAGTCAGGAAACCTTTGTGTGTTTTGGGGGTAATGTTTTTACCTGGTGTAGCAGACTTTCCGAGATAGAAAAGGTGAACAATATTGTTGAACTGTGTAAAGTCATAGATTGTTGTTGCCGTATGCTGCCTTTCTTCAAGTTGCAAAACATGCAAGTATTACAAAAATGATTTTTGGCATGAGGTAGACRGCCAGATCAGTGCAGCTTTCGCAGTATTACTCTTTTCCCGTTTGTTGTGGTGAAGATAGAACTGAGCTACAAGCG